AGGTGTTTGGGTGCCTCACGCACTCTACAATGATCATTGTTTCCAACGTGTGAACATTGCCTCATCTCTTCTGGCGTGTAATGCGTGTGAACTAATTTTAGACGGAATTTTCACCGGTGATGAAAAATGGATTCTGTATGAAAATATTAAAGGCCAAAAACAATGGCTCAGTCCTAGACAAAAACCACTCCCGACCCCAAAACCTGGACTCCAATCGCAGAAAGTGATGCTTTCCATTTGGTAAGATATCAAAGGAGTAATTAATTTCAAACTCTTCAATCCACAGGGAACTGTCAATGCAGAGATCTATAGTCTGCAACTGGAACATTTAAATCAAGCCCTTCATCAGAAATTCCCTTCAGTCATCAAACGAAAAGGTGTTCTTCTTCTCCAAGACAATGCACGTCCACATGCAGTACATTTGACACAACACATGATTATGGAGTTGGGTTGGAAAGTTCTCCTCCACCCACCATATTCTCCAGATATGGCACCATCTGATTACCATATTTTTCGTTTACTGCTACACCATCTTAATGGAAAAACATATGCAAATGTGGAAGGTGTTAAAGAGGACATCGACATATTTTTTGTTTCAAAGCCAAGTGATTTCTTTAATCAGGGCATTAATAACCTGATTGTAAGATGGAAAAGCATCATGGATAAGAATGGAGACTATTTCATTTAATAAATGTTTTGTTTTGATATATAAGTTGTTCGGGTTTTTTTTTCATCTAAAAAAAGGACATTAATTTCTTGACCTAATAGTAATATTTATATAGTAGTTTTTAAAACTTCTTTATTTTTAAATACGTACTTTCAGATGTAATTTATATGCTACTATAGTTATAATTTGTGCCCCCATGACTCTCCATGCCATTCATGGTGGGGGGTGCTTCATAGTTTGAGGTGTGAGCACCATGGCTCTATATTCTATCAATTCAAAATTAAAGACAGTTATGTACATATAGTCTTTGTTCACGTTTGAGCAAAATTTTGATACAAGAAACAAAAAGCTTTTCTAACTGATACATAAACACATGTTTTTTTTATTACCAGGTTACAATGAAACTGAACCCTTATTCCTTTCACATTATATAAAATTTAAAATAGACATGATAATGTTGTCCATTCTACTAGTAAAAGTAATTAGAATATCAAAAATAGTTGACTGCTCTACCTTATGTTTGTCTTTCCAAATGGCTAATGTCCATCCTCCAACAGTCAGAAAAATGTCTGATAAGAAGGCAGACTGCTGAACTGAGACAACAGGACCATCGTGAACACTGGCAAAGGGTGTTGTAGGAAAAGCTACAAAGAAGGAAAAACATAAATCATTTATCTTCACATTTGCAGATATTTATAATTAATTATTTAAAAACAAACTAAATTTCATCTCTGCTAAAATAATTCAAATTTTGTTCAATGTTTAAACAATGTGACATTTGTAACCACTTGTTGAGTTTAAATTAAACATATTCTTAATGAAACCTTTATCATTCTTAATGAAACCTTTATCCTTCTTAATGAAACCTATACCATTCTTAATGAAACCTTTACTGTTCTTAATGAAACTTTTACCTTTCTTAATGAAACCTTTAGTTTTCTTAATGAAACCTTTACTGTTCTTAATGAAACTTTTACCTTTCTTAATGAAGCCTTTACTGTTCTTAATGAAACCTTTACCATTCTTAATGAAACCTTTAACTTTCTTAATGAAACCATTACCTTTCTTAATGAAACCTTTACCATTCTTACTGAAACCTTTGCCATTTAAAAAGTTTTTATTTGACTCAGATTTTTCTTTCCAGTGCTCAGCAATTTACAAAACCACAATTTCTACTCATTGAATAAAACTTTCACTATTATGCCTTTCTTTAATTATAAGTACAGTCTGCAAAACTACAGCTTCTAGCCCATGAAAGAACTTACTACTAAGGCTTTCGTTCCCAATATTCTTCCTTGAAAGCTAAGTTCTTTAAGTTTTTAGAATATCTTAAGGCCCTAATTAATATTTTAGTAATTTGTGTTAATAATAAAATGATAAATTGATTTAGTAAGACTGGTAAATATTAACAGTTTTACATTAGGACTTGGCAGTGTATGTATTACAAAAGTTAGATTAGGCATAGCAACTTAGCTTATTGATAAGTTATAAAACAGGCTAAGCACATTGTATTATTACATGAATATTATCTAAGGCTAGTCATTTGTTACTTCTCATATTAAAGTTACTTTAATGTGAAGTTAAAGTAGTAATAAAATTATGTAAAATATTTAATTCTCAAACACTGTTGTCACAAGGCTACATACATTTAGTGTTGATTATTTATTTCCAGACAACAATAGTTAAAAATAGTGGTGTAATGCCGGATCCCTGCCAAAAAATGCTAGCCATTTAACATCAAAATCGGACTACATATAGATTACCTAGAGAAAAAGTGAAACTCAACTTTATTTAAATTAAGCAGTAAGGGTCAAACAATAACTGGGAACCAAAATCACTAATATTAAAACAAGTTTGAAAAATGCATATCTAATTAATTTACAATATCTCTAATTGCAGTCCTGTATTAACAACTTTGACTTTTTCAATGCTTTGTACACTTCCTGTACTATCAACATGAATAAGTAAAAAAAAAAAGCTACTTTCGTTGTACCATAAGTACCATAGAGCAGATGTGCAATACCAATTAAAATCTCAAACACACCAAACGACACATAAACCAAACTTTATAAACACTTTATACACACTGTTGACTAGTAAACAAACAAACTACTGAGTAACAAGCCACCAAAGCACTTGAGAAAGTTGGTAGAGTAAAAACACAAATTTCACAAAACCACAAATTTGTCTGTTTGACTGACTGTCTAACACATTATAAAATTTACATTCACACGATTGAATTGCACTATTTTGGCTAAAAGTGTTTTTCTTTGTTTTATTTATAACCTTGGTAATAACAAACAATAACCATTTTGCAACACTACTAATGAGCTAACAACACACTAGTAGCCATTACAAGCACAAACTGCCAAGTAACAACCCACTCTCATATTACATGTAGGTGTACGATTGCTTTTGTACACACGCTATGTGATCAGCTTGCAGCTGTATCAGCTAGATAAAAATATGTGAACTAAGTTGATTATCTAGATCTAGGTTCTAACTATGATATAATCTTTGAAAGCAAAATTTTCACTTCTACACATCTGACTGACGAGTTCTGTGTTGGACAAAGCAAGTCTATTACACCAGTTGCCACCTAAGACATGATTCTCCTACGGGAGGACAAACACTACCATTGTCAAAGTCTGACACAGCTTTGCTCAAGCTTTCTAGACTGAAAACAAGAATGGTAAGTTGTATAATTACCTTTGCACTGTTTTCTTTGTTTGACATCTAAGGTTCTTCTTGAAACAGTGCAATTTTTAAAATATGAATAAAATGTTATCTTGATAACCTCAAAAAGCCTTTGTCCCAGTGAAGAGAGTATTACTGCAAGGATAGAGATAAGGTTAGAAACAGTAATGATGAATATGTGAAACAAGCCTTAGCCATTAATCCAGCCACCAAAGCTTTAAAAGACTGCCACCCTGGTTAGATGGAAAAAAAACTAGCAAAGATATCAGAAAAAGCCAGGAAATGTCAAGAGATAGCTCTAAGAAAAGCTATAAGAAGGATAAGCCTAGAGCTCAGTTACTCTCGAGACTTAGCACCAAGAGATGCTACAAGAAGGAAAGGCCTAGAGCTCAAAAATTCTCAAGACTTAGCACCAAGAGAAGCTACAAGAAGAATAGGCTTAGAGCTCCATTTATGCACCCAAAAAAGCTATGAGACAAGTGTACAACATTTTTAAATAAAAAAGATGGAAGAAGGAATGGGTGCACCAAAAAGTAATGAAACAAGGTTAGAATGGGTGGGATAACATTACAATACTTGGTGGTTTTTGACACAGTGAAACCTCAAAGTGAATGTGGTCATCTTTCCATCCATTCCTACATTGTGTGCTTTTTGTAACTTGATAATTTTTCAAACTAAATGAAAGGTGTATATAGCTAAATTACTCTGTTGTAAACTTTGTTTCAGCAACTAAGTACAGATGCATGTAAATAATCAAATTGTGTGACCCTAACAAAATGTATGACATCATAATGGGGTGTTTGATGTCTGAAGTAAGAAAGGAAGCTCCAATAGTCATACTTTGTTTATGGGAGACATTAATTATAACCTAACTGACTGGTAATGGGTGGGCCAAAAGAATAGTATCAAACTGCTGATTTTTGAATTTTTTGAATTTGTTGAATATTTAGAAAGGATAAGCTACTGATAAAACTCAACTCAAGTCTAACTGGATCAAAGTTTAAAGTAAAACAAGAAGTTGAAATGGGCAGAATGATGGCCACACCCACTTTGTGGTTACACTGTATCAAAAACCACCAAGTGCTGTAATGTTTCCCATCTATTCCTACCTTGTTTCCTTACTTTTTGGTGCTCCTATTCCTACTTCCTACTTTTTTATTTAAAAACTTTTTACACTCGTATTTAAGTAAATAATAAACATTTTAAAAACATGTACCTTTTAAAAACATTAAAATTGTAAAACCTATTTCAGTAAGTGTTTTAATAACATATTAGTGTGTCTTAATAACTAGATGAAATATGAAAAAAACAATTCACTATTGGGGGGGGGGGAGATAATAAACAGCCAGACTGTTCTCCGACAGTGGGAGTTTGTTTATGAAAGACACTTAATTTAGAATGTAAGCTAAATAGTTTAAATATTTTTTTATATAGGTATGTTTAAGAGTTTAAAGTGTCAGGACTTAGCTCCAACTTCGTTTGCTGGAGCAGTGTTCTGGTGAACCCCTGGTTAAGAGTAGTGTAGGTATTAAGTGCTCACAGTTTGTAATATGCAATAGGTGCAAGAAGTGGGTTTTACTTCGGAACTAATGGCTGAATTAATTTGTATGGAAGCTAGCAGTGAAGGTGTACAAGTTATTTGCAGGTTGGAGGAGAAATTGGAGACTAACTTAAACAAAGTAGAGGCATTAGATAAAGAAAAGGGTAAATTTTAAGAAGTAGCAACAAGACTGCAAGAGGAACTTAAGCTTTTACATGCAAAGGGTACAGTAGCAAATAATGACTTTCAGGGAGTTAGAAACAGTAAATAACAGGGCTAGATGTAGTGGATTTAATTGTAATGAACAGATTTTGTTAAGTAACAAATTCCAGGGAAGAAAGATAAAAGGAAAAGATAGGGATAGGAATGAAAAATGTAAGATTATAGTTATAGGTGATTATTTAGTACAGCATATGGATAAAGTATTCTGTGGAGTAAATAGGGAGAAAAGGATTAGCTAATGATATCAAGGGACAGGGGTGTAGGATACAACTGACAGAAGTGATATAGTAAAGGGTGTGATTCAGTCTTTGTGGTTGGTTTAATGGTGTAGAGAAAAGTAGGTCAAAGGAGCTAACTGATAAGTATGAGGGAATGATAAAGGCATTTAGAGAAAATGGTTATAATAACTCAATTTTGTCAGGGATACTGCTGATACTTAATTGTGGGAATGAAATTATAAGTAAGTTATGCACTAGGACTGAATTCTCAACATAGGTTAATATGTAATGACATGCAAGATGACTAGTTAGACTTGTGGGATCAGTTCAATACGAAAAGGAGTTTTTTAGAAATGGATGGTTTATGTTTAAATAGAGTATGGGTCTACTTGTTTGCAAGTGTTATTAACTCGACTGTAAGAGCAGCTTTAAACTAGGACTAGACAGTGGTGAGGGCCAGAATAAACTAAATGAAGGAAAAATTAAATGTAGAGAAAATGTATAGTGTAGGAAGTAGTTTTAATGGTAGGTTTAACTGTTATTATTGTAACACTAGAGGTATAAGAAATAAAACAGAAGACTTTAAAGAACTAGTCAGAATAGAAAGTTTTCATGTAATAGGAATTGTAACATATTTGAATACAGACAATATTGATGATGGAAATGCAGAGCTATAAGTTATTTAATAGGGATAAAGTACTAAAGTATGAAGTGCTTTACAAGTGAAATGTGAGTTACATCCTGTTAAAGCTGAGGAAATCAAAGCTAATAGCAAGGAGGTTGAATTTCTTTGGGTTTCTATTAACAAATGTAAGGAGAGAAGGCTATTAGTTGAAATTTGTTACAGACTGCCAGAAGAAACTGAAGAAATTAATGGGAAACTCTATAGAAATATAAAGCATTCAGCTGTTAATGAGGTCATAATTATGGGGGATTTTAATATCAGACATATAGATTGAGAAATTTT